ATATTGTGATGGTTGAAAGAGGACACTTAACATTTCCTTTTTATTCATATTCATAGGTTATTCATATTCATAGGTGGATTTTTTAATATGATAATATATTATTTTATTATTGTCTTTTTCATTCACTTATGCAAAATCATGTGTATGCTACTATTGATATTTATACTAGTTCTACTTAATAAGAGGTAATATGTGTTTGCAATATATTACCTTGATGTTAATTTAAGAACTTTATTTATTATTATGACAGTTTAAGTTATTTAATTCAAAATTCTAGAATATTTTTTATAAAATATAAATAGTTTTTTCTTCTTTTTATTTATATCAAATTTGAACCTCTGTTTATTGACTTTATGTCTGCAATATGTTACTTGCATTACAACTTAGTATAATTCATGTACTAATATGATGCATATTTTATATTGCTTCCCCTTTATTTTTTTACCAACATATAATAGCAATTACAAAATTCACTAAATAATGTGATAACTATGAGAAAATGAAGGAAAAAGGCTTAATTTCCATTTTGAAATGTCACAACACTTCGTAATGTTCCTTTGTGACTGTATTCTTGTCAGCCTTTCTATTTGCAGGCTATGCATTTTGGAAGTCCTGCCATCATTCTTAGCTCGTTACACAATTTCAAGACGGAATGTTACACTATTTTATGAAAAAAAATTATGAGGATCTCTGTAATAAGTTGGGAGAGCATTATATATAATTTCACTATTTTTTGAGACATAATTTTTACATTAGGGGTCAATTTTAGGAATTAGGCAACTTTTTTTTATTTTTTCGCGTATGTTAGCCCATGAATTTTGACGTCTTATGGCGCCCAATCGGGTTTTCTGAAAAAACTTTATGAGGACCTCCGTAATGAATTCGGGGAGCATTACATATAGTCTGACCATATCTTTGCATTTAGGGTCAATTTACAAGAATTAAGTGATTTTTTTAGTTTTTCGTGTGTGTTAGCCCATTGATATTGACGCCTTATGGCGCCCGAACGATTGTCCTCAGAAACCTTAAAAGAACCTCTGTAATGAGTTTGGGGAGCATTATGTAAGTCTCACCAATTTTTTTGTTACATAATTTGACATTTAGGGGTCAATTTATAGAAATTAGGCAACTTTATTGATTTTTTTATGTGTGTTAGCCCAAAGGTATTGACGCCTTATGGCGCTCGAATATTTTTTATCAAAAAACCTTATGAGGACCTCCGTAATGAGTTAGGGAGGATAACATATAGTCTCACCATTCTTTAAGACATATTTTTGCATTTAGGGGCCAATTTATAGGAATCAGGCGACTTGTTTGGTTTTTCATGTGACCTAGCCCATGAATATTGATGCCTTCTGGCGCTCGGACGATTTTTTTGAAAAAAAACCTTATGAGGATCCCCGTAATGATTTGGGAGAGCATTGCGTATAGTCTCGCCATTTTTAGGCAATTTATTGCATTTAGAGGCCAATTTATAGGAATTAGACAAAAAAAAAATTATTTTTCATGTGTGTTTGCCCATAGATTTTAACATCTTATGGCACCTGGACCATTTTTCTAAAAAAAACATCATGTGGACCTCTGTAATGAGTTGAGAGAGCATTACGTATAGTCTTGCCATTTTTTGTGGCATGTTTTTTAGGGGCCAATTTATAGAAATTATTTGTACTTTTTTTGTTTTTCATGTGTGTTTGCCCATGGATATTGACGTCTTATGGCACCTGGATAGTTTTTTTTGAACAAACCTTATGAAGACCTCCATAATGAGTTGGTGTAGCATTACGTATAGTCTCATTATTTTAGGCATATTTTTGCATTTAGATCTTAATTTATAGGAATTGGTTGATCTTTTTGGTTGTTTATGTGTGTTACCCCATAGATATTGACACCTTATGGCGCCCGAACAGTTTTTCTGAAAAAACTTTATGAAGACCTCCATAATGAGTTGGGGGAGCATTATGTATAGTTTCACCATTTTTGAGACATTTTAGCATTTAGAGATCAATATACAGAAAATAGGCAACTTTTTTTTTATTTTTTCGTGCGTGTTAGCCCATAGATATTAACGCCTTATAGCGCCCGAATATTTTTCCTGAAAAAATATTATGTGGACCTCTATAATGAGTTGGGTAAGCCTTTTTTTATGCATATTTTGCATTTAGGGACCAATTTATAGAAATTATGCGTTTTTTTTATTTATCGTGTGTGTTAGCCCATGGATATTGACGTCTTATAGCGCTTGAACGGTTTTTCTGAAAAAACATTATGAGGATCTTGGTAGTGAGTTGGGGGTGCATTACGCATAGTCGCACCATTTTTTGAGGCATATTTTTGCATTTTGTAGTAAATTTATAGGAATTAGATGACTTTTTTATTTAAAAAATTTGAATATGTTAACCCATTGATATTGACGCCTTATGGTGCCCAAACAGTTTTTCCAAAAATATTTTATGAGGACCTCTATAATGAGTTGAGGAAGCATTATGTATAATCTCACCATTTTTATTAGGAATATTTTTATAAGAATTAAGCGTTTTTTTTTTTTTTTGCTTTTTGGAGCATGTTAACACATGGATATTGACGTCTTATAACACTCCAACGGTTTAGCAAAAAAAAACCTTTATGTGGAGCTCCGTAATGAGTTAGGGAAACATTATGTATAGTCTCACCGTTTTTTAGGCTTATTGTTTCATAATACGGAGCAATTTATAGGAATTAGGCGACTTTGAATTTTTGTGTGTGTTAGCCTATCGATGTTGATGCCTAATGAAGGAAGGAAAAACTACAGAATATGGCAAACATCAATATACATTTAAGATAAATAGCTACAGTTTATTTTTTTTTTATGTTATATGAATATAATTGCACAATAAATAGCAAAGTTAATTATATATAAATAAATAGGAAATTATTAAATATTAAATAGGAAAGTTATTATTACACACATAATTAATTATGCTAAGCATGTTTTATGTGATTAGTCCCCATATTTACCCTCATTAATACTTTCTCTTTCATCAATATCTCTTTATCACAAATTTTCTATATTTCCCCCACAAATTCCTTCCAATTTAAGATTCTTTTACATAACTCTAGGATCATTTTTTGTGATTTGAATTCATCATCTTCTCCGGTGACCTCTCATTTCTCCGATGGTTGTTTAGAGCTTTTGTCTTTTTTATTTTATTTTGTCTTTGCTATCTTGTTACGTTTGGTTCTTCTTCTTCTTCTTCTCTTCTTTTTTTTTTTTTTGACTTGGGCTGAAACCAAGTCTGTATCATTTCCTTTTGTTTAATAAAATGGACCATTGGTTCTGTCTTTGAGAGAAAGAAATATCTTCTAATAGAATTTTTTCCTCGTTTTTATGAAAATTATATTTGTATACATTTACATTTTTTTCTACTTTTATAAGGTTTCAATTGAAGAATTATTTGTTTCTCCATTATAATGGCTATAGTTATAAAAAAAAAATAGAAGAAGAACATGAGCAAAAAGAGATTGAGGTTTGTTTGATTGTCAAATTTGTATATAGTAGAATACTTATATACATAGACATTTGTATTGTAATATTAACACAAATTGAAATGGTGATTCGTGAAATGGCGATTCCCTATGTTTACCCTCAGTAATACTTTCCCTTTCATCAATCTTCCTATATCACAAAATTTCTATATTTTTCTCCCAAATTTCTTCCAATTTAAGATCTTTTTGATGATTCTAGGAGCAATTTTTGTAATTTGAATTCATTAGATATAGCTTAATTGATTTTCTTCTCGTTTTTATGAAGATCATATTTGTATACATATATATTGCATCTAATTTTATAGGCTTCCGATTGAAGAATTATTTGTTTCTACATTACAATGGCTATAGTTATAAAAAACAAAAAGTAGTACAAGAAGAACACGAGCAAAAAGAGATTGAGGTTTGTGTGATTGTCAAATTTGTATATAGTAGAATAGTTATATACATAGATACTTGTATTCTAATATTAACACAAGTTGAAATGGTGATTTGTGAATACAAGTATATTTGGATATATAAGTAATCTATCGAATCTGAAAGGTTAATTAGGCAATACAAGTATAATTGGATACATTAATACAATATTTTTATAAACAAATACATGAGTCAATACCAAGCCTCAAGTATTATAAGAAAAACTTAACCAAAAAGAGATTGACGTTTGTTGGTTTTTTTCATTTGCCGAATACTTGCACACTTTTGCTACCTACACATTCTATTATTTTCCATTTTTTTTTGTTTATGTATTATCAAATATATCCATCTTTTGTTTAACAGCAATGTATTCATATGTATACTATATTGGTGTATTCATTTTTTGTTTAACAACAATGTATTCATTTTTCAAATTATCGTGTTTATATGCTAAATTGTTATACTTTATCTTGTTTAATATATTAATACATTAAGTTTTTACAAATACTTGTATCCTTGATATATTAATACTTTAAATTTTATAAATAAAGATACTAATTTGAATTTGTACAATTAATACAGTTTCCTTATTTAGTTCATTGTAATTAAAACTGTATTAGTGTATAAATAGAAAAATAAAAAAACATATACAATAATACAGCTAGAGAAAAAGTTAAATTTTAGTCATTTTTTATAAATACCATACTTATAGCTATTGTACTTTAATAACCCTATAAATATAGTCATTTTTGTAAGTTGCTCAACATTTTTTGTGTAGCCCAAGTTTTGTAATGAGCTGTATATATCTGTATTGATAACAAAATTCAATTGTTACCAAGAAAATATAATCTATATATGAAGGAAATGTAGCAACAAATGATTTGGTATGGTCTTCAGCACTCTTATTCAAAGCCAATCATTACAATTTACACTCCCTCTCACCGGCCTGAAACATATATAAATCATGAATTCTTCAGAATACGCTGGCAGGCCAAGCGTACGGGGACCATCTTCGCTCAACACGCCGCAGCCACTACTTTGGCTCCTTTAATGCAATTATGAACTCCACGGAACTTTATCAGTTCCAACGCAACTTATCCTTTTGGAGCTGACGTAACAAACTACGCGAGCCTCCCAACAAAGCCAACATAAATCCGATCCGAATTAAAAAAATAAAAGAAAGTTTGATTATTGCGGTATACCAGCCATCTGTTCTGGAACCTTCAGTTCCAATCAAAGCATATAGATTTTGTATGTATAGCCACTTCAGTCGTGCGTATCTTTTTTCTGAAAACATGGTCAACCAGAAATTATTATGTTCGCGATTCTTCATCCACCGATGGATAAATGGTGAGACATGTTTTATTATGCTGCTGCTTCTTGTAAGGGATCAAACAGAAAGCCTCTTCCTAGCATCAAAAGAGTTGGTAACTTGGTTCATTTATCTGAGATTTACAATCTGCTGGTTAACCCGCACAATTAAGCACCTCTGGCGTCTTGTCTTATCAGGATTCTTTTAATCCAAAAACCGCAAAGGCATCCGTACCCTGTGATGCAAACTGTGCAAAGTCGTGGATAGAACGGGATGTACTGGTTGAGGAAAAGCCCGTCAACAAAAAAATGGTGAATAATATCGATATAACAAAAACCGTTATGGATTCTATGCTAGACAAGCAAACTTTCAATGATCAGTTAATGACTAAGGTGGGTGAATGCTTACCAGTCCAGCTGCAGACACCGCCAAGCATCGCCAAAACTTTATATGCCTTTTTTGACTTTTAAGACTGACGCAAACAACTCAAGAAAGAATAGCAACTGCAGCATTCCCTCAACATTGCAAGCCATAGGTGCTTCAGCTTTGAGAAGCGAATCCAGTGCTGGTTCTCAGTTCACCAGATCTTTTCAAACGAGAAGAATCTCCTTTTAGCACTAGAAGAATCATTACGTATAAAATATGCACACTACACAGTATACGGTCCTACATACTGTGTGTCCGTGTGTCTGACAGAGTCCAGCTTCCTGTGAGAGAACTAGTGAACATCAAAGGAGGGCAAATGTCTAAGCAATAAAGTTTGACCGCCAGGTCCAAGAAGCAGTTGGAGGTAATGGCAGGTCATTTGCAGTAGAGAAGAGCTTTAGAGAAAATGTATCTTCTTAATTCTTAGCATAGGGAGCTTAATGTTAAGGAAGAGGAAGGGGAGCAACATCTTCAGAAACCATGTTTTCGTTTTTTCTGACCTCTGCCAGCAGAGAAAGAGCCAACAGAATACTGTGAATTAGCAAGCTCTCGGGGAATTGCCGCACCAGATGTTTTAAGAGCTTCAACCAACTGGGGAAACAATTTCTTATTCTCTTCATTCACAAAGACAATTGATGTACCTTCCTCCCCCATTCTGGATGCCCTTCCCACCTGGTGCACATACTCCTTGATGGAATTTGGCATATCAAACACAATAACCTGTTTCACAGTCAACAGATTGATTCCTCGACCCAACACTCCTGTGGCAACAATAACTGGAATTTCTCCAACTAGAAATGATCTTACAATTTCTCTCCTATCCTTCATGGATTTCTCACCATGAATTGATAATGCTTTTAGCCCAGTGCTTACTGTTATTGCTTCAGAAAGGAGATCTGATCCAAGTCGAGAATCCACAAATACAATAACTGGTGGCTTGTAATGCTGCTTGCTCATCAAAATATCAAAAAGCTTTTGCTTCTTCCGTTTCGAGTCTACCCATATAGCTAACTGCTTGACAGCCTGATTAGGTTTATTTGGCTTCCCAACAGAGATGACAGTAACTTTTTTCGCCATTGAGCTTGCCATCTTCTCTACGTCTTTAGGAATTGTAGCGGAATACATTAACACTTGAGGTTGAGACAGAGCCGTAAAAATCTGCATCACCTGCTCACGGAAACCTCTTTGGAGCATGCAATCAACTTCATCAAGAACAAGAATTGAAATAGTATCCAGTTCAATCTCGTGTTTCGTCAAAAGGTCAATGAGCCTTCCAGGAGTTCCCACAATTAAAGATGCTCCCTGCTGGATGCGGTGGAGCTGTCCTGCCATGGCATCACCACCTACCACCAATGCAGTTTTGAATGGCAAACCCTTCCCGAGAACCTTAGCTTGATCCTCTACCTGTATGCAGAGTTCTCTAGTAGGTGTGAGAACCATAGCTAATGGTTGTTGCTGGTTTTGGAAATGCTCTTCATTGAACTTTGCACACTGAGAAACAATAGGAATTAGAAAAGAGCCAGTTTTACCAGAACCAGTCTCCGCTGAAACAAGCAAGCTTTGCCGTGCTAAAGCAGCAGGGATTGCTTGCATTTGAACAGGAGTTGGCATTTCATAACCAGCAACTTCAATATTCTCGAGAAGCTTCTGAGGTAGCTTGCAAGAAGCAAATGACAAGATGGGAGGCGGTGTGGTATCTCCCTTCACAAGAATATCAAGTTTCCTTCTCAGAAGTTCAGTCTGGTCAGTTGTTAGTGGATTCACTTCAGATTTATCATTATCCCTTACATAATAGCACTCATCAGTTGCTGGTAACTTCACAGGACATGGACGAGAAGTTGGTTTCCGCAATTTTGCAAGTCGCGACAACAATATACCTTTGCATTCCAAGCTACAAATATCATCATCAGTCTCATCGCAAATGTACTCACCATAGCGGCCACATACGACACATCGAGGCTCATCCGGCAGCGCCTCTCTTTGGTCCCAACACCTCTCCTTCACATTATCCTCTGAAGCAGACATGAAAGAAGCAATCCCATAAGCACTTAAGCAATGTGATTGCTACATCTTGATAATAATAAAAAGGGTAAATGAAACATGAAATCTAAATTGACTTTAATGGTTAATTTTTTACTATATGTTTTGTGAGTGATATTTGACCTCAATATTTCAAAATTTAGAAAGTAATTATTTGCACTAGAAGTAAGATAACAAAATGATTAGATTTGGTTCCTTAAAGCTCAACTTTTGGTACTAGTACCAGATTTGACTAATAAGATTTGGGAGAGAGTACTAGTATGATGAATTGCTGTGAAATTGAACAGAGAGATACATTTATTCACCAGGCAACGAATGGAAATTGGTCAATGACCGTAGAATTATGGATTAACACAGAAGAAAACAAAATATTTGTTACAACAACTAACCAAAAGTGAAAGGGAAGAAGAAATTGTTTAATGTTTATATTTTTTTTCAGAAAAAAATCTAAAACTCTTAATGAGACATTGCTAACACCAGAATTTAAATATGGTCCTTGACTAGAAGAGCTTGACTCACAAACAAAGGTATGGACAACGGGCTTAGGTAGCCCACTAATAGGCCATCACAAAGTTTGTCCACAACCACAACATTCAAGAAGAGAAACCAAGGGTAACATTAAATCCAATCCACAAAGCCCAATTGGAGCAAGACAAGTTTGAATCCTGCCTTGATAAACTTGGAATTACTATGGTGGAAGGAGAGCTACTGCCTTATAACAAGTGTAAAGTAAGGCTGTTACAGTTCAGGATAGGTCAGCAACTGCTTCTCACAAGATATGGGAATGAAAATACATTGATTAAACGTGAATCAAAATGATAAGCCAACAAAAAATGGACACCAGACTAGCAGAACTGCAGAAGACTATTGCAGTTGAGATGAAGGCTAGTTCAAGCAAACCAAGGACTAGCAGCAGACCAAAAACTTGCTTAGCGAGATGGAGAGACCGAGGGGCAGTCCAAGTAAACCTAGGATCAATTAGCTGAATCAGAGACCAAATCCATGAACTCATATCAGCTATCAACTCGAAAAAACGTTTTAGGATTTTCATGATGACAGGTGAAGCTTAAATAGTAAGAGTGAGCCAGATAAGCATGAATAACCACAAGTAGAACAGGTTGCGCCTAAAGCGCAATAGTACATAAGAAAATTATCATAGAAAAGTTACCATATCTTATTATAGTCCAGGAGAACTCTTTCACCAAATATCAAATAAGAAGTAACTACTTTCTACAAATTAAAGAACAATAAACAGACTATTCAACTGACATAATCCATAAATGCAAGAAAGCGGACTGAAAGCAAACTGCCGACTATCCTCTCGACCAATGTCCACAATCCAACAATGGAGACTTAAAAGAGCAAGTCGAAAAGTACGTGGCAACTAGTTAGGAACCATTGCCATTTAAATTTTATATATATGCAACTATTGCTACGACGGACATTAATTCAGCGGGGGAACCAGAGCTTTTTGTTTATGGGTTCTAAACCATAAATATCTTTGCTTACTGGGTTCTGGATAAGCTACTGAGCTGGCTCCACCTCTAACATTATCCAATATCAACACAATGTATCTCAAATTCTATCAATTCAATTCATTTCAGCTTATTTTGCAGCTTTCTCTTTAAAAATCAAACCGTTAAAACGTTTCATCACAAGCTACTGAGCTGGCTCCACCTCTAACATTATCCAATATCAACACAATGTATCTCAAATTCTATCAATTCAATTCATTTCAGCTTATTTTGCAGCTCTCAGTTTAGAATAATGTTAGCCATAATGCTTTCACACAATCCTTCAATTCAAGAATTTTTACAATAAAATGCTTTTAAGAAGCAAGCCTAAGAACACATAAAAAAATTGGAACCAAAACATGATCTACAGAACTTTATATGACATTTTGATATATTTTACCTGTCTTTAGTTTAACACCACAAGATTCAAAAATTTCCTTTTTACTTTCTAAAACTCCGTGCCAAGTCACAATCAGCTAACCGAAAATTGAACCTGAACCCATTCTCAACCCACTTCATTGACCACTAAGTCACACCCGAGATACATAATCCCCTAATTATTTGGCTAATTCAACAACAACAGCTAATCTAGCTCAGTCCACTCAAATTTTTTTTGCAAAAACTCATAAATTGAAATTAAAAAAAACAATCTTTACTTTGTTAAAGGAAATTACCTGGGGGATTACTATCATTTTCTGCAGCTACAGAACTTTCCATTGTACAAAAAAAACTTCAAAATGCAAAATCCTCAAGATATCACAACCCTATAAAAATTACAGAAAATTATTAAGCAACACCATAAAAAAACAAAAAAAAAAAAATATTAAAAAAAAAACTACATACCCAGAATTCTCCTTCAAAGCTTCGGTTGAATTTATCAAATTTCTTGATTTTTCGGTGTCTCTATAGGTATATGTATAGCTGCCGGGTTGTCGGATCTTGATTGGGCCTTTTCGGGTTGAAAGTGGAGCTAAAGTTTAGGAATTATTGTTTTAGCCCCATTATTTTGGATAAAATGCAAAAAGGGACCCTGAACTTTAATATCACTACAGATAGATAATTTTATTTAATTTTATATTTAAAGGACTATTTTGGAATTATCTTCATACATAAGGGACTGTGTTTGTCATTTTCTACCTAATAAATATAATCGAGTTGTGTAGAAACGTGAGATCGAATTTGAGATTTGAAGTTTATTCATTTGTATAACAACCTCAAGTTAATGTGTAATAATATTCAGTCCATAGCTAAATATTTATAGATATCTAGTGAAATTCTTAATATAATATATACACAATCCCTTGTTGTCGTATAAGTGTTCTCCTTTTCTTTTTGGTTTGTTCTAGAAAAAGTATTTTTTCTATATGTAGTAAGTTTTTCAATTTCAACATTCTGTGGGACAAATTTAAGATCGAAGACTTGAAGAACTACATACATCTTTAATTTATGATTACAATATTCAAAAGTCTCTCGTTGTTTCTAAACTATGTGTCAAATCAAACTAAGTCACTTAAATTGGAATGAAGAGAATATAAATATGTGACACATTTCGAATTTCGAGATATGTCCCAATTTATGTGATACTTTTTAGATTTTGAGATTCAAACAAATCTATGTTTAATCGTAAATTCTTCGTATACATTTAAATATTCCAAATTGTGACTTATAGTATTTTTTTTACGTAGTTTACAAATATATAAATTTCATTTTAAAAACTTTCAAGATTCCATGAGGCAAATCCTCGATCAAACCTAAACTGTTTAACTCTCGAAAAACGAAATGTGTTACATAAATTGGGACAGTCAGAGTATTAGAGAATTAGAGCTTCCTCATTTGCAAATGCTTTCATGCTGGTTTTATTATGCTCCTACTTTTCAAAAATAGATGCCAAAATATGTCTATCGGAAATAACTTCTCTGTCCTACAAAAGTAGGGGTACAACATGTGTATATTCTATATTCTTAGGACCACACTTGTAAGATTACACTGAATACGTTTTTGTTGTTATAGATGCCAAAATGAAGTGCTTTCCAAGTTGAATATAAGTTACAATCTGAGAAATACTTGACTATGCTTGAAGTTTTAACATAACAAGTTGGCCTTAATGTAACTATATGGAAACCTTGAGAGTTATGACTTCTTCTTGGATCCGTCTACGCGTACATGGACAAAGAGAATTTTGTTGTAGCCGCGTGAAATTCTGATCTTGTCATCGGTATATCTGCATTGTACAAAGTTAGAAGATAGCATAACGATTGATGACAGTTAATTTCGTTATGTCTGCAATAGATCGATATATCTTACAGTATTTCTATGGTGAACTTGCTTTCCATTTCTACTGGAATTCCATACATACCAGCCAGGATTGCTCCATCATCCATTATGACATCGTACGTGTTACTTCCAGATTTCCTGTATTAGAAGACGAGCAGTTAAGCTTAACGAGCATACCAAATAAAAGGCCTCCTAGGTGATCGAGCACGTTCACTCCCTATACCTTAGTATCTCTCTGGCTTTTAGTCTATATAAAGCGTAGTTAACAGAGTTCGCTATGTCTAACATTTCAGATTTCCTAGTGTAAAAAACTGCTTTTGCATCGACTCTCTTTCTCTCGTTAGGTAATTACTGAGGCAAAAAACAGATCTCTCACAAGTCATTTATATCAATAGCTGAAATGGTAAGTACTTACTCATATTTGCCAGTCATGGAGAACCTAATACCGAACAATATGCCAACGAGGAACTTCAACTGTCCATCTGGTTTGACAATCTAGAAAGAACAACACAAATTCCGAATAAGAAAGTATAGTACGTGACCAAAGATATCAAAGTCGATAGAGAAAATAAAACAGCAGAATGAAGAGGCCCTATGCACCTGATTTCCCATCAGACCGTTGCCAGCATTCTCTAACCAACTATCTGTTTCAACCTGTAAAGCAAATAACGACCTCAAGTTAATATATGATATGAGAAATGAATGATCTATTCGGAAAAAGGAGGTTTAAGTGTATTCGTATATCAGAGTTATTTCCAAGTAAAAAGCTCTAAGTATCTGATATAACCAAACAACATGTTTAGAACTTATCTTTTCTTCATTCGTTAAGCAGAGTCGGATTCAGGATTTGAAGTTTATACATTCATACATCGACCTCAAGTTAATATATAATAGTAATAACTGGATTCATCGTCAAATATTTGTCACTCGTAAGTTGTGTTCTAGATATCAAAGTAGCGCAACACACTTATCAAAGTTTGCATTTGAAAAGAAAAGAGACGTTGGACAGATACCTGTGAACTCCATATCATTTGCCACTCTCCCTCGAGGAGTTCCAGTTCAGGGTTCGCGACATTTTGGTTTAAGGAAATAAACTCCTCAATTGCCTGTTAAAATTCACATCAAGCAAATTATTAATCACAGAACCAACACATGTTATAACAGGATTTTCACAAGAAACGAGCGTAAATTTGTACCTTTTCTACCCTTGTCCCCGTTGAAATGGACGAAAGCAACTTTTGCCTTGGTTCAGTTTCCCTTTGCAGCACAAATGTAGTTCCCTGCACTATATCAGTATAGTTTGTGGCCCTTAAACGCTTAACTGATTACCCGTTACAAAGAAGCTGATAGTATACAGTTAACTGATTTTATGCTATGTTGCTTGGACCCTCCGAAAATGCATAACTTTTGAAGGATCTGACACACACCAGCGATATCTTTGAAGAGTCCAAACAACGTTTTATGCATGGTATAACGTCTAACAGTGAGGAAAAGCAAAACAGAAAAAATGACACGAGCTAATTATGTTCTCCTACCTTGTTTCCTCTTGAAATGCGGAGATTCCCGGATGGAGACAAATATGTTGTGTCTAACCAGCCCTTAGCTTCATCTCCCAGAAGTCTAAAAGGTACAGGATACGGAACCTTGAACGGTAGAAATTTGAACGAAAAAGCTGCTCTATCAAACTGGAAAAGAATACGTTTTCCGTCTTTGATTGTTGCAAGTGCCTGAGGAACATAAGACTTGCATTCAGTAAGATACCAAAGAGCCAAATTATTGTTCAAAACTGAAGTAGAAAACTACGCCTCGGTCCAAACAGGTTGGGGTCGGCTATATGAATCTCCACTTCGAAAAACTTACAATATTCAGTAAACTGGATAAAAGATACATACCTCTACTTTCAGCTCACCTATTGCCTCAGAAAATTTTACAATGTTGGATACACGTTGATCGTTCGTTCTAAGGAACACTTCTTGAAATACACTGAATGAGTCAACCCCAACAAATGTTCTCTGCAAAATGGCTCATATAAGGAAAACGATAAGTTAGACAACCCCACGTTTTCATTACTGCCTTTTGTCCCAAGGAAAAGAAGATATTTGCTGATGTTATGATCAATGCTAATGTTAACGAATAAAATTTACTTCTTTGAAATCCACAATACAGTATCGATTTTTAGTATGTCTACGAAATGAATATTGACCATCATTTCTTCATTTAAGCTCTCTAACCAATCTACGCACCAGAAAAATGTAGACAGCTGAAAGCACAGTAAAGAAAAAGTATAACATCTAACCTGAATAGGAGATGCTGATCCTGGCCTAGTCGTGAACATCAGCTGCCACCGACCCTCTATCAAACTCGAGCTTGTCTATAGATATTAGCCCATGTGAATATAACACCAAGTCACTAACAACATTGTAAAGTTGCAAACCTCCAAATCCCTTTTGTTACTTACATTGAAACAACATAACTTATCGTTTTTAGTATATTTTTCTCGCAGATATGCAGTCACATTTATCATAATCAACACTAAGAAATGAGTACAAGGGAAATGCAATGAAAGCGAAAGCACTCAAAGACAATACTCACCGGTTCAGAAACACCTTCTGATCCTTCGAGAACTTTAACAGCATGTTCAACCTCCTGCATAACCATATATTTACTTTAGATCCTGGATCCGCCTATAATATTATACGACACACAAGATGACCCCTAAAAGATGTCAATCTCAGAATGAAATTCAAATACTGTAACAGTAAATGTACCAACAACTATGGGGCAACTCCAAACAAGTTCGGATCAGCTATATGAATCCTCACTTCTCTAGTTAAGCTCAACTCGTGTTACATCTCACTATAACAATAAAGATAACAACAACAACTATGGCGCAAGCCCAAACAAGTTGGGTCGGGCATATGATTTCCACTTCTATATTTATGCTCAACTCATGTTAAGCCTCATTACAACGATAAATATAACAACTACTACTACTATGCCTCAATCCCAAACAAGTTGAGGTTGGCTATATGAATCCGTACTGCTTCTTTTATGCTCAACTCAATCGTTATCATAGCAAATTAAATACAACAACTTACTCGGTGTAATCTAATATGACATTCTTTATCTGGAGCATGACATTCAAGGACCGGGAATATATTCACAACTCTATGCACGGTCCACACCAGACCCAATATTGGGCGCACCATGTCAAATTAGGTCCATGAGTGTATGCAGACCTTACCTCTAACTCGTGGTGGTAGAGAGGTTGTTTACGATCATATAAATTATATATAAAAAGTAGTAGTAACTATAATATTATAAGTTCTCTAATAAGTCTAAAACTTATTTCCAACTCGTAAATATTACATATATGGATCTTTTTCTTCCATTCTAATGTGTACTCACTGTAACATTACATGCTTCAAACTACTTAATCCACTTTATAGCCCACACATTTTCAATCTCTACGTTATAATATCGTCTATAGTATCTTATCTAAGCCATGAGCAGAACCACAATGCAGCTTACAGGTTCAGCAGAACTCAGTAACTTTGGAAACAAATCCAATAAACTACAACAACAACAACATATCCAGTGTAGTCCCACAAAGTGGGGTCTAGGACAGGTAACATGTACGCAAACCTACCTCTACCTCAGAGGTAGAGAGTTTATTCAGCTCAAGGAAAAATAATCCAAAGTAGTTTAGAAAAAGAAGTAACGAAAGTAAAAACATAACAAAGTAAAATACTACTACTAATCATCAAAGTACAAGACACAATAGACAATAACAAAAATCGAAGGACAAGAAACTATAGGAGCAATACTACAACTACTAGTACAATAGTACGTACGGATAGCAAGACAAATCACTACTACCTACTAACCTACTATCCTAATCCGTGTCCTCCACAACATCAACCATAACAAAGCACAACAAGAACAAAATATCATACAAAACAAGAAATTTGGGGATAAAAAAATGTGAACTAACTTGAAGTTGTTGAGGTGAAGCAGCGCGACCGCGGCCTTGAATACCAATAAGAGCTTCAATTAGTCCATTTTCTTCTTCACTAAAAGAACAAACTTTACTTGCAACAGAGCATACAAGCAAAAACCTCTTCTTGTTTTGCATTTTTTGACCAAGAAATTGCTTGCAACGCCATTTTCGAATCGAATTTATCGCAATTTGAGGCCTAAATCCAACACCCAAATTCCCGATTTCCATTATTGTTGTCATTTTTGCTAAGTGTGGAATTTTTTTATTTTTTGGAGGGAAGGGATTTGTGTGTGTGATAACAGCTTCAACTAACTTTTCAAGATTTTTATTTTATTTTATTTTTTAGTTAGATATATAAGGGATTTTCTTGGACACGTGGCAAGTTATTGGCTATACACGTGTACATGTGGGCCATGTAAATATTATCTATTTGACTATATAGATAATCAATTGCTATTGAATTATTTTGGCTAAAATAAAAGGAGTTTGATTTGTTATTTTGCGGGAGTCTTATTTGTTTGCGCTTAATAAATATTTACGTAATTATTTTGATTTTGATTTTTAATTATGCTTATTTTAGGTTTTTGAATTTTAATTATTTAGTGTATTTCTATTTTTCTTTTATGATTTTTGAATAAATTTAAATGATTGAAATTTATGACTCAAGTTTTAATATTATTAAGGTGTTATCTATTAAAGAATTGTTTTAAAACAAAGGCATTTTACCGTTGCTTCGTCTATTTTCATCGTTATTTGATCATCGTCATATATTATTATTATCGACTATGTGCCATGACACACCACCACACAATATTATTATCATTAATCAGTGTCATATATTTCGATGCTATTACTATAATCACCTTCAATTACTATCATATATTTATCAAACATTAATGTAGATCACTATTATCATTATTTATCATCATCATCCATCAAAATTACAATCCTCTATCACTTTTATCTATCACTATCATTCACCATAATTATCAGTCGTAATTATTATTAATCACTATATATTATCAATCATCATCATTACCATCAACTATAACCGTCTATTAGCACTCATAACCACCACTATTAGTCATTATCACCGCTATCATCACTAACATATTATCTTTTAAATATTTTATAAATTAATTACATTTTATCTAAATTTCATAAATATTTTTTTATAAGGAATATACATTAAATCTTTTTTTACCCTCTTACCTACTTCAACTTGACGACAAGAGCAATTAATAACAACACCATAATAATAGTAAATATTAAATGACAACGTACGTGCACTGACAAGGTAAAACTAATAATATTAATTGTATGAACTTGAATTAGACCTCAATTTAATTTTTATATATTAAAGACAACTCCATGAATTTTTTAAAGAAGGCTACGTACATTAACCTCAATGAATTATTTTATTAAAAGCGATATCAATGATATAAATTATTAAAAAATATTTCGTCTATTTCAATTTGTTTGTTCACAGTAACATTTTAAATATCATAAAATTATACTGATGTATTTGGTAATTAAGTTACTATCACGTGAATAGAAGATAACGTGTTCAAATTACGAAAACAATCTTTCATAGAAATATATATATCGGGCACGACAGGCGATATCAGTCATCATTATTAGCCACCAACGATAACCATCTATTATCACTCATAGCCACCGCTATTAGTCATAATCACTGCTATCAGCCTATCACTAACATATAATCTTTTAAAGGGCCTAAATAGCCCTTCAATAATTTGAATTGGTACAAAACTATCCTCCATCCACCTTTGGGTCTTGAAATACCCCTGACGTCAACCTTTTGGCTCAAAAATACCCTTATGTCTAACGGATCATACTCATAAGGTGGATGGAGGGTAATATTATACTAAATTCCATAGTTTAAGGGCATTTTAGGCCCTTTTCCGTTAAAATAATTTGAAATTACTTAATATATAAGCTCACGTGATTGACTTGATTTTGAATTTCATAGTAAATTAAAAATAAAAGAAAATGTTAGGTATCTACTCTCTACACTCCCCCCCTCCCACCGCCACCCCTTCACTTCCTATCTCTTCCTTTTTTTTTATTGATCGTATCCACCATTTTAAATATTATTGTTTTCCAATTAATGACAAACAATAGAGAAAAAAAAAGTAAAATTAAGCAGCGATGCATTCGTATAGAAATAGTTAGTTCAATTAAAAATGACTTAATTAAGCAAGTATGTACAAACATTGCATTTTTCTTTTGTGTTTACCTAAAATTCAAAATAAAAAAATTAAAATAATCATTTCTCTTATCCCACCATAATAATAATAAAATTTAAAAGAATATAAATAAGTGATCAGTTCATTTCAAGTTTGAGTCCCGAATATTCTAATTAAGAATAGTAGATAAAAAGGAATAAAAAATGAAAAAGACATTTGAATAATTGATAGAAAATTTTATATTAATAAAAATAATAATTTGTTTAGATGGACAATCAATCGGGGTGAATTTTAGTTGGATCCTCATTTATGAGTTGTGTTACGTTATAATAAATTGGGTTGGAGGTGAGGGTGGGGGGGGGGGGGTTGATTTAAAATATGCCAATAGGAAGATATCATGAAATTAATTATTTTTTCAATATTATTTTCAAGTGTATCGGGTCAAAATATGAATCATATGTGGTTTAATAAAAAAAATAAAAATTAAACATATAATTTTTATTATTTATATGAGAAGGGTTTAAATTTGGATCAACCACATTAGGCAACATAATAAATAAATATTTAATAATTTTACTTAAAATGAACTATTAAAATTAAGGGAAAATATGAGCCAACGAATTAATATCGAGGATATTTTTGAGCCAAAAGGTGGATGTCAGGGTTATTTTAGGACCGAAAGATGGATGGAAGATAATTTTGTACCAATTCAAATACTTGAAAGACATTTTAGGCCCTTTTTCGTTTTTTTTTTTAATAGGAATATACATTAAATCTTTTTTTACCCTATTCCCTACTTCAACTTGACAACAAGAGCAATTAATAACAACAACCATAATAATAGTAAATATTAAATGACAACGTACGTGCACTGACAATGTTTCCTAGAAATATATATCGGGTACGACAAGTGATATCATATAATAAACTCTCATAGCATGATATTTTGATATATTCTATATATTTTTAGTTTTAGAACAAAATTATCTTTTAAAAAAATATATTTTTTATAAATTTTGTGTCAAATTAAAATCAGATAAACAAATTGAAACGGGATCAATACTATATTTCTATCTGGTGAACCTAACATCTATATTTGGACGTTTGAGTATGGAATAATTAAAGTGGAAAACTTGAAGCAGACAGCTTTAAGTTTCATAAAGATATTTTAATTTTAGGAATATATTCATAAATAAATAGTGGGAGGAGATAAAAATAGAATAATAAACAGATGTGATTGATAGATAAAATCCCTTCGTTCAAACTGTGAAAATAGAAACATACTTAGTAGAGGACGTTTATTTGTTAGCCAAAGACATAGTTATCTATGATGAATGTTTCGAAATATTATATTGTATGTATAAGTTAAATATTTGAATATTTTAATGATATTTCTAATTTCGTTATTATCTTTAGAGAATCTTAATACAGAACGTAAATTCAAATTAATTGAACTTACTTGAATGCTTTGACTCCATCTATGCTCAAGAAAGTACAAATTGATTAGGTATTAGATTTGATTTCTGTGTTTATGTCATATATATATATATAGTTGTATATTTTGATTAATTAAGTATTGAACTAAAATCAATAAAATTTGATTTTTTTTTTATAAACATATAATATTTTATTCATAAGATATTCCATTTAATTAATAAGACACAATACAAAAATATACCTTTCTACTTGACATCAATTGTCATCTACGCTTTTCAATTTTGAATGTGTACAAGTAGACATACGTATTCTACGTGGCATAATACATGTAAGACGCCACGTAAGACACAAAATTGTCATGTAGGACGCTACATAAGATGAACATGTCTATCTATTCAATTTTATACAAGTTTAAGTGTCTAATTATATACACTGAAAGTTAGAAGGTATAGATATCAGTTGAAATTGAGTTAAATAACACGTCTATGTATTATGTCAATTAATAACAATATACATTTTAATGTACATATTCTAGTATTTGTATTCACACACGAATTCATATTATCAAATCCTTAAATTTATATGATGAACAATCCAAACAATATAAGCCCATTGATTTATTACGCACGTGACACAAATTCAAATTAATAATTAAAGAAATAAAAAGAACTATGTATATCCAATGATAATTGTTGAAAGAAAAGAAAATATGAATATTAACAAATACTAGTCCTTTACAACCTGGAAAGAAAGAATAACAAAAAGTACACTAAATTAATTAATTAAAAGATGCTCACCTTTTTCATGGACCCTAAAACAATTAAAGTAGAAATGACAAAATTACAAATAATAAAAATCCAAAAATCCCAAAACAACAACTAATTTGTTGTGCACTAGATTTACCACTATCATCAATTTCAACTTTATTTTCCGCAAAATAATGATGTCTTTTAGTATACCAAAATATAATTTTGTACCTAATTTTAGTACTCACATCAACTCTAATAATTGCCTTAGAATTATTTGAAACAGCCTTAATTGCATTATCCCATGGCATATTATGTGCCTCAATCATGCCACTTTTAGATGCTTCTTTATCTTTACCTTGTTTAAATTTATCAAATGTAAAATTACCTAGAGGGTAACTTGTATTTGTACCATAGTAAAAACTAAGGGTAATGTTATCGTAACGAACAGCTTTGTCCTTCATTTCATTCTTCAAATTGAGTTGAAATGACATATGGTTGTCACGCTTCGTGCTGTTGTTGTTGGAGTTGATTGATTTGTCAAGGCCTTGCACGTAAACATCTCCGATGGAACATTTGGGCTTCGTGGTACGTAGAATTAACCATAGGACCAGAGCTGTGATGCCTAAACTCACTGTCAATTTGACACAATTACAAGCACGTGAATCCGACATGTTGGAAAGTCAGAGAGATAGTTTCAGGATTTGAAGCTATCAGAAGAGATGAAAGAAGAGATGGGAAATGAGAGTAGAGAGAAGTGGTGGAACAATATTCTTAGAAGTTTTTGTGGGTTTTTTAAAGGTATATATTGATTCTCAACAATTATATTTTTTTTGCTTTTTTAAAGACTTGAGTGATTGGGTCAATGACAAGTTAGTTGGTGGTTTCCATTAAATTCTTGGAACATTTCC